AAATGATGGGGAGGGGGGATGGTATATCGACCTAACCATGTTGTGCAAACCCGCTCAATGTACGCATTGCCGCACTGCAGTTTTTATATAGTTAGAAATAAACGACGTACAAAATGGGGTTTTGTCTATGGCATCCCCATGGTTAACCATGCTTACCAAAAACGTAAGGCTTTTGTATCGGCCCACTGTAACATTCACCCAACAAAATCCTACCGTAAAACTCTGTCTATGCTTTTCGTATAATTCAGAAGCAGATAGTTCAGCGTACCCCACAAGATAATGTTATTTTTAGGAATATGGACTGACCATATTAATAAACATCCATTAGGAATATGCACTGCTACTATATTAACAAACTTCATCGGGAATATGCACTGCATAGCTGCGAAGATTTTGTTAGGCATAACAGCACTTTTACTCATTGCTTTAGCGCCAGAAATTGCTAAGTCAAACGGGTACTCGATTAGCGTATAGGATTTGAAGAAAATTGGTCCAGGGAATTGATATGCTGATTACATTTAGGATGGGAATACCATGGTAAGGTCAAAATCACTGATCTGCTCGAAAGGAAAACTTGGATGTGCGCATCTTCCTTGGAAATGGAAGGTAGCGTATTATGGACTGTGAATTACTCCACTCCAGAAAAATTAAACGTCGGTTAGGCTTTAGCGTTCTAGAAATAAACATCAATTACTTCTACTTTTACAAGCCCAAACTCTTTGAGCAAGTTAAGCACAACTTTGTTGAGATGACTTCTACTTTTAAATGTGATGTGCTCCCGAAGCATCCAGTTATTAGGATATTTTTGATTCAGAAAAAAAGGCAACTTATCCGGCAACATAGTAGTCTACCGCTGATTTTTACAATGCAGTTACTAATAAACAATCGGTTATCCACATCTTCACAGCAAAAATTGTTCATGTTTAGTTAGAAAATAGTAGTTGAAGTAATAACACTTGATGCTGCTCTTTCATCTTTTTAAGACGGTAAACTAATTCCTTGAAGGCAGGGAAAGACACATACGCATAAATATGTACCTGTACCCACAGAAGTTTTCTTTCTCTCCAAAATGCGCTTGATATATAGCTAAAATCAAGAAGTTATAAGCAGAAAAGCATTTACAAACAACTCCATCGACTACTTTGAAAGGTGTCGAATTTCGCCAAGTTAAGTAGCCATGATAACTCGTTTGGCAATTCACTCTCTATAGGCAATCTTCAAGAAACCATAATGATCGCCTGCCTCAAGCTGAAAATGGTTTACTATTCTTATGATTCAGGGCTCTGCAAGAGTTCCTCGGAAATAGCCTTTGCGTTGGCCCATATGGCAAACACATCGTTTACGTCTATTTGCAGAATCTCATGGTGAATAGTTCGAATCCCAAGATCACATCGTTTATTGCTCGCTGTGTGGCCTTTATAGCCAAGTCTTGGTCATCTAAACGCCTTGACCACCATGAGAGCCATCGTCCTCCTCGCCGTGCTAGTTTTCGTAGTCTGGTGAGGTTTTTCTCTAGTTTTCTCAGAAAGTTCATGATTATTGCTGTTCAAAAGGATGTAAATCAAATTTAGTGCCAAACGTGATTCCAATCAAAAATTCAAAGCATGCTGCGCCAGACAGAAAGCTGCTGATAAAGAATGTAAAAGGAAATTTTGCGATTTCAATTCTATCAACCAAAATAATGTGAGTTATCAGAGATCCTTGTTTATTCTTGCTTCAGGTTTAAGTCTAAGCTGACAAGAGCTTTTATCTTTATTTACACAAATCACTTCCTTAAAAAGTTTGAATCAATCACTGCTCGACGGTAGATGTTGCTTAGTATACGCAGAACTGCAAATTTTTCCAGTCCTTCCCGTCATTCCAATAATCAACCGCAAAGTTTTTCAAATTTTGCAGATGCTCCACTTTCTTAATATGTGTTCACCTCGAGAAGATACCGTAAAACTGATGTGGGATTGTGCCTCTTCGCGACATGACCATGTGGAATGTTGCAAAAAGCGGTAAATTCTTCTCATTTATTACCTTAATGTATCTCAAAACTGAGTTTTTCAGAAATGTCCTACCGGCATGTATGCAATACTGCGACAGTTCTCATTCCGTGCCAGCTGATTATCTCAACCATCTCGTCTGCCTTCAAAACTTCGATGCTATCCGTGATTGCTTCAGAGATCATTTAGAAAAGAACCCAAATATTTTTGGCGATAATTGATTGATTTGATTATTTTCTCATATTTTTATGATACTGTCTCGTGCAAAGTAAATATTTCGAATGAGTACAGAAGGCAAGCTAGCTTGAGAAGCAAATATGAAATTGTTGACATTTTGCTTCGTTCAGCTCACGCAGCCATTTCACAAATTGCTTAGAACACCATAGATGCGTAGATAAGGAGTTTCTAGAGAATTGATAACTGCAATCTTATCAAACTAACGTTAGCATCTACGTCAGAAACAGAATGTTTTCTCGGAAACAAAATTTATCCTCAATAATGTAAGGTCATAAAAATAGGGTAAAACTCTAAATCGTGTGAAGTAAAAAAGATGGTAAGTTCTAAGCAAGAGCAATGTTTAGAACTGAGTTCATGTCATTTTTATTGAGCGAACGGTTTAATATTCTTTGGATGAACCTTAAAAACAATGCTCAACTGTTACGTTATTTCGAAGCTTGGCCTCAAAACTTGATGACCTAAATTTGCTAAAAATCGCACTGTAATGATTTCACCTCTCACACATTATAGTACGGAGAAACAAACGGAGTATGAAAATTTCAGAAAATTTCGCTCACAAATTCAGTTCTATT